TTAAAATTTCAATATCACCCTGAGAAAATGGATTTTCAAAGAGTTATAACTTTCGAAAACCTATTTTTGGTAAATTATATAATTTTTCATAAAATAATTTTTGAAAATTTATAAAATTTACTGAATATAGATATCAAAAAAATTATAAGAAAGATAATTAAGTAATTTTATGTATAACAAATTTTTAAAAAACGAAGTGTGAAAAGTGAAAATGGCGATACATTTAGAAACTCCTTTTTTTATTTTCTTAATTTTTAAGCAAACATAATAAAGAAATCCTAAATTTTACTCTTTTAGTTAAATAAACTCATATACTTTTATTGTATTTAAATAAATCATTAAACTTTAATTTGTATCTAAATAAATATTTATCTTTTAATTTGTATCTAAATAACTTTTAATTTTTACCTAATTAAGTCCCAACCATAAATCAATCTTTCCTTTTAAATAAAGTTTTATTTAGATATAAATCAAAGGATAAAAATTTATTTAAGTATAATAAAAGTACAAGAGCTAATTTAAGAAATGTTAAATAGTTCAAAGGATTTTTATTTAGTATTTTAGCCTATTTTTAATTTTTCAAAACTTTGATTTATTATGATATAAAAATAATAAAAACAAATTATATTTATTAGTATTTTTATAATCATATATTATTATGTATAAAATGTTTGATTTCCACTTTTTTATTTTCATTTATAAAAAAAAAACCCTTGAATATATATATATATATATATATATCATTTTAGACAGATAATAAAATTAAAAATATTCACTAAATTAAAATGGCATTCTTTTTTTATCAATTAAAAAGTCATTCTTCTGGTTGGTAAAAAAAAAAAATCATTCTTCATATAAAAAAAACAATAAAAACATAATACTATAGATCTATAATTATATAAAAAGAATATTATATGTATATAATATAGTAAGTTAAAATATTATGGAATAATGTGTGCTGACATAAATATTTATATGAATTGTCTTAACACATAATATAATGATTAAAATATGCAATTTATTGAATTTAAATAAAAACTTAAATATTGATATTTAAAATTATGCAATTTATCAAAGCCAAAGTAGATTAAGAAAAATATTTTAAAATTGTTGTAAATTTTTTTTAATATTTTTAATTTTAAAATTATATGCATATCTCTTTTATCTCCATTAATCTAATTATAATATTTTTATTATTGAGCTCTTTTGAAACTAAATAATCATTTTATTTCATTTTCATATTTTTTAATCAATTTAAAAATCAATTTGAATACTTTGTAGCTTGCTAAAATTCTAATTAATTCAATACAAATATTTGCGATTTTATCCTAATTTTAAATGTTGGACTATAATTTTTTGTTTTAAGGTTGAACAATATTTGTTTATAAAATTAAATATCCTCCATTAACCTATGGTTTTAGTTTAGCTATTTAGAATTGATTTTCACCAAAGTTTTTATTTTCTATTAAATTAGTTTATTTATTTTTTTAAAAATGAGACATAATTTTAATTTTCAAATGATTTCTTTTTTTAATAATTAATATCATAAATGATCCTTAAATTACAATAAAATATTTAATATAATATTTGAACTATAAATATGTTAATTAATGTGGTACTTATCTCTAACATAGCTAGTTTCAAATAATGATACGTGACATATAAAATTTTTTTAAAGTATCATATTAATTAACATATTTATAATTTATATATTATGTTAAAGACTTTTAAACATTAAATATCATATTAAATATTTTACTATAACTTAGAGATAATTCACTAATTTATCCCTTTTTAATTCAAAAAATCAATCAAATTAATATACAAAACTTAATAATACTAATTTTACCTAAGACAAATTAAGATTGATGCATTATAATAAACTTACTAACATTTGGATTACTCATAAAGTATTAATGTTTTAATTACTTGTACCAAAATATAAATTTGATATAAAATTGCCATACTTTGATGTTTAACTAATACTCTTTCGTCCCATATTATTTGGGTACTATGATTTTCATAAAATTTAAGAAAAATTTGTGACTTTAATGTATTTAATATTAAATTTTATTTTTTTATATAAAATTAAAGTTCTATAATTTTTAATATCAAAAAATAAAAAAATCATAAAAAATAATTTTAAAATATAAAAAATAAGAGTTTTAAATGTAAAATATATATGTATATATATTTTGAGATATTAAAAAAAGATAGAACAAAAAAAAAAAAAAAGACGGAAGGAGTATCTCAATTAAACCAAAATATAAAATTTAAAGTCCTTAGCCACTTATAAACTAGGGTATTTAAATTATATCATGTAATATGGTATACAATTTTGTTATAAAATAGTATATAATGTTCATTCATAGATATGTTTAATTTATATAATAGTGTTATTGTCGCCATGTATATGACTGTAATTTAACTATCCTTTTTGTCCATACAATTGTTTAAAAAAATATTAATAAAAAAATAAAATTTCCTTTTTATTATTAAATTTATATTCATATTAGTTAGAGACTCGTGCTTCGTGAAATTTAAAGCTTCCTTCTAGACTTAAATAATAAGATGCTATGTTAATAATTAACATTAAAAAATAGTATAAAAATTAAATGAAAATGATCACAATATGCCCTCAACAAACAAACTAAAATGTTCCAACTAATTCTCAATAAACAAACTAAAATGACCTAACTAACCCTACACCTAATTTAAAGTTAATTAAAATTAACAAACTACACCATTTTGTATATGAAATTAACTTCTTATTTAATTAATTAATTGTGAAATTAATTCTCAACTTTTTTATTTTGAATTGTGGACTGGATTGAAGATTTTTGGACTAGATGGATATTGGGTTTTTAACAATCTAATTGAGTCTTTGAGATGGGATAAATATATATTTGATTATTGTATTATACATTTTTGTCAATTTAATACTTAAAAAAATAAAATTATTAATTTAATATTTTAACCTTTGTTTTGTCATGTAGTTTGTTATTTCAAAATAACGTCATTACTCAATTTATTGATGTAACATTAACATTCAATTAATGCCACATTAGTAATTAAAAGAAAATTTTGAAAAAATTTCTAATCTTTTTTAAATTTTAAAAAATTTTTAAATATTTCAAAAACTTATGAAAACCAAAATATTTTAAAAATTATAAAACAATTTTAAAATTAAAAAAATCTCAAAATATTTTAAAAAAATAAAAAAAACGGGAATTTAAAATAAATTCTTAAAATTCAAAAAGTAAAAAAAAAAAAAAAACTTAAAATTTTTTAAAATTTTAAAAATATTCTAAATTTTTTTAAATTAAAATCTTTAAAAATCTAAAACATTTTTAGTAAATTATAAAAAAAAAAGAGTAATGAAAAATTAAAAATTTTGAAAATAATAAGAAAAATCCTACAAATTAAAAAAAATCTAAAAAATTAAAAAACTAAAATCTTAAAAATTTAATACAAAATCCAAGAATATAAAAAAAAAAGTTTTGAAAATTTTTAACACAAATATTAAAAATGAATATAATAATAAAAACAAAAAAATTCACAAAAATTAAAAATACTGAAAATTTTAAAAAAAATTTAAATTACATTAAAAATATAAAATTTTAAAAAATTTTAAGAATACTTTTTAAAAATTTAGAAAAACTAATAAAAATTCAAAAAATCTGAAAAATCTTTAAAAATTTACAAAAATTACAAGTTTATGAAAAATTGAAAAAAAAATGCTTTGTTTTTATTTTTTAAAATTTTCAATTTTTATTTGAATTTTTAGATTTTTTATTAAAACTTTCAAAATTTTCTTATTCTTTTAATTGTTCAAAAACTTTTTAATTTTTTTTTATAAATTTTAAAATGTTTTAGATTTTTTGAAATATTGTAATTTTAAGAATTTAAAAAAATTCGGATTCTTTCAAAATGTTTTAGATTTTTTAATTTTCACTTTTTTTTTTCAAAACAAATTAGATTTAGATTTTTTA